AAAGGGTCTGCTTTAAAAGTAGTAGTAGTAGAAGAAACAGAGGAAAAGAGTTAAAAGAATAAAATGGCAATAAATACAAACCTACCAGTAATCAATTTAAATATAAATACCTTAAGTGCTCCAATTAAAAGACATAGGCTAGCTGAATGGATAAGAAAACAAGACATATATATATATGCTGTCTATAAGAGACCCACCTAAGAATGAAAGATATACATAGAGTAAAAGCAAAGGAATGGAAAAAATATTTCATGCAAATAAAAAAAAATTGGGGTAGAAATACTTGTATCTGACAAAATGAAACAAAGGTTATATTAAAAGACAATGAAGAACACTGCACAATTATAAAAAAAAAAGCAATATAATTCTGGTAAGTAGTTATGTACCCAACATAAGAGCAATCTTGATGGACATAAAAAGAGAGATTGAGAATAATACAGTCATAGTATGGGATTGTAACACCCCATTTACATCAATGGATAGATTGAGAAAGAAGAACAAAGTTGGAGGTATTAGAATACCTGGTATCAAACTATACTGCAAAGCCACTATAATCAAATCAGACTTGCACTGGCATAAGAACAGACAAATAGATCATTGCAACAGACAGATTATACCAAGTGAAATAGATATATTACAACAAGTGAAACTGAAACAGTAGTAAAAAAAATCAAAACAAATACCAATCTTGGACTGGATGGCTTCACAGTCAAATTTTTTCAATCTTTCAAAGATGAACTAACACCTATCATCAAACTACTCCAAAACATTCAAGAGGAATAAAAAATCTAAGTTCATTCTACCAGGCCAGCACTATCCTAATTCCAAAACAAGATAAAGACACTACAAAGAAAGAAAATTATAAGCCAATATCCCTGAACATACATGTTAAAATACTCAACAAAATATTAACAAATATGATCCAGCAATACATTATGAAGATCATACTCCATGTTCAAGTAGGATTTACTCCAGGGAAGCAATGTTGATATAATATCCACAAATCAATAAACATGATATATCATATAAAATGAAGGATAAGAACCACATGATCATATCAATAGATGTCAAAAAACGTGATAAAATCTAGCACCCATTCATGATGAAAATTCTCAGATAAATGAGAATAGAACATACTTCAACATAATGAAGGCCATGTAAGAAAAATCGATAGCCAATATAATACCCAATGGGCAAAAACTAAAAGCATTTCTCTTAATATCAGGAACATGACAGGATTGTCTATTTTCACCATACTTAGTCAACATAGTACTGGAAGTTCCAGCCATAGTAATTGGACAAGAAGAAACAAAAGGCATTTGAATTGAAAAGGAGGAAGTAAAACTGTCATTACATGATATTGTACATAAAAAGCCCTATAAATTTCCACCAAAAAAGCTACTAGATCTAATAAATGAATTTGGCAAAGTAGCAGGATACAAAACTAATATTCAGTGGCATTTCTATACACCAATAATGAAAAACAGAAAGAGAAATTAAGAGAACAATCCCTTTTACTATTGCAAGGGAAAAAAAGGTATATAGGAAAAAAATTTAACCAAGGAGGTAAAAGACCTGTACTTGGAAAACAATAGGACATTGGAGAAAGAAACTGAAGACGATACAAATAAGTGGAAGCATATACCATGTTAATGTGTTAGAAGAATTAAATCATTAAAGTGTTCATACTACTGAAAAGTAATCTATAGATTCAACAGAATTCCTATTAAAATACAATAGTACATTTCACAGACCTAGAATGAATATTTCAAAAATTTATAAGGAATCAAAAAAGAGTCTGAATAGCCTGAGCAATCTTGAGAAAGAAGGACAAAGTTGGATGTATCAGAATACCTGGTATCAAACTATACTACAAAGCCACTATAATCAAATCAGACTTGCACTAGCATAAGAACAGACAAATAGATCATTGCAACAGAAAAGAGACCCTAGAAATAAGTCCACAACTATATGGTCAATTAATATTTGACAAAGGTGGCAAGAGGATGCAATGGAATAAAGACAGTCTTTTCAATAAATGGTGTTGGGAAAATTGGACTGGTACATGCAAAAAAATGCAACTAGACTACCAACTAACACTATACATGAAAACAAACTCAAAATGTATAAAAGACTTAAATGTAAGCTGTGAAACCATAAAAATCTAGGATAAAATATAGGCAGTAAAACCTTAGACATCTCTTGCAGCAATATTTTTGTCTATATGTCTCCCAGGGCAAAGGAAACCAAGGAACAAATAAAAAAATAGGACTTCCTCAAACCCAAAAGTTCTGCACAGCAAAAGAAACCTCCACAAAATGAAAAGGGAACCCACTGTATGAAAGAACGTATTTGCCAATGACACCTCTGATAAAAGGTTAATTTCTAAAGTATATAAAGAACTCATACAACTCAATAAAAGTGAGACAAACAGATCAATTAAAAAATGGGCAAATGACCTGAACAGATGCTTCTCCAAAGAGGACATAAAGTTGGACAGTAGACATTTGAGAAAATATTCAACATCACTAATTATCAACGAAATATAAATTAAAACCACAATGATATATCACCTCACACCAGCCAGAATGGCTATCATCAATAAATTAATAAACAAGTGCTGGCAAGGATGTAGGAAAAAGGGAAACCTAGTACTCTTGGTAGGAATACAGACTGGTATCGTCATTATGAGAAACTACTTGGAGTTTCCTAAAAAAAATTAAAAAATGGAATTGCCTTTTGATCTAACGGTCCCATTTCTGGGACTATATCCTAAAAATACTGAAACACCAATTTGGAAGAATCTATGCATCCTTGTTCATAGCAGTGTTATTTACAATAGCTAAGATCTGGAAACTGTCCAATGCTCATCATTACATGAGTTGATAAAAAAAGTTGTAATATATTTACATGATAGAATACTATATGGCCATAAAAAAGAAGGAAATCTTACCTTTTGTGACAGTGTAGATGGACCTGCATATTATTATGCTATGTGAAATAAGCCATTCAGAGAAAGACAAATACCATATGATCTCACTTTTATGTGGAATCTAATGAACAAAATAAACTTGCAAACAAAATAGGACCAAGGCATGGATTCATGAAGCAGACTGACAGTTCTCAGAGGAGAGAGTGGAGGGGGGAACTTGATGAAAGAATATGAAGGGATTAGCCAAAGAAGATATATGCATATCCTATAGACACAGAGGACATTGTGGTGATAAATAGAGAAAAGGGGGAAATGAGGGCCAGGTGGATATGGGTAAAGGAGTGGAAAATGGGGACATCTTTAATAATGTTAACAATAAAAATAAAGTTGAAAAAAGAAACAAGTTTAGTATGTTGGTATTATCTCACCAACTATATTCTTTATTAAGACAAAAGCGCTATTTCTCCAGCAATTTACTCTTTATAATTCTCTTTCTTCTGGCCACGGTTATATCCATTGGTTTTTATGCTTCTTGTCATTTTTTTTTTTACATAGTATTGTACAAAGTTGATAGAGGATTTTGTCGACAAACATCTACTGAAAGTCTGCTAAGAGCAGGAAGCAATCCTGGGTAGTGATGAAGAACATGGATTTAGGAGTCTGATTGCTCTGAACTAGGGTCTAGCTCTTCTACTATAATGTGCTCATTCTCTTTCTCTCTTTTTTTTCTTCTCTTTTTGTTGGACTGCATTCCAGCCTTCTTTTCATATTTACTGTTCATTAATTGAATATTCTCTATGTGTCAGACACAATTCTAGTTGTTGAAAACATTATGGCATGTCAAACAGGTTTCATCTTTGGTCTTACCAAGATATACTCCAGTGCAGGAGGGAGACATTAAAATACAAATAATTATAAAGAAATACATATTATGATAAGTGTTCTGAGTAAATAACTGGGTTTGATAAGAAAAAAGGTAAATGAAAAAGTTAGGAAAATGATAATATCTACCGGATAGGTTTGCTGTAGATTAAATTAGATAATGTGGGTAAACAATTTAGCATGGTTCATGGCTCATACTGAGCCCTTGGTAAGTGGTAATAATAACATGGTGATAGTTAGGATGATGACAATGAAGTGGTCCCAGCCTTTAAAGGGTTTAAAGTCTACTGAAAGACACAGTATATATGGATATGAAACTGAGGCTGGAGTTTAAGTAATCAGCTCAATACCACACAGCTAAAAGTGGTAAAATAGAAATATGAATCCAGGCAGCTCTGATGCCAATGACCAGTGTTATCTGTCACACTGAACTCCCTCCCAAAGACCTTCTTTATTTTCTCTGTTCTCCTAGCTCACTGAGCACATACTATTATAATAATTACCATATTACATTTTTATTACCTCTTTATTTATCTAAATATCCACCTAGACTCTGGAGTTCCTTATTTCTCCTTGTTATTCATAGTATCTAGACACCCATGTCTGACATGGAGATGTTCAATAAACTATTTTAAACAAATAAATGACTAAATATATGAATATATTAGAAAGTCCTGCACAGACATTCTTCATCCCAGAAGCAGGTGCCAAGCTATTCAGAATGGAATACTACTCTGTTGTTGCATTAAGATAATATCTCTTTTAGAGGTTTTCTTCTGAGTACAGAATATTAAACATTTTAAACGAAGAGTAAGAGGAAGATAAAATGGTGATAAATTGAGGTATTATAATCCTAACATGCTGATAATATGAGAAAAATCACAATTACAGAGATACAAAATTTAAGGTAGATAAATCTGGAGATGAGAAAATAATTTTCACAGAGGAATTCTTCATCGGTAAGAAGGAACTGATTGGAATTTCTCTGAGAATTTAAGGTAATTAAATTAACAAAAATAAATGTGCGTGTAGTTGCTATATTTGTTAGTTCCTTAAAGGCAGAGGATATAAACACCATTTACTTTTGTATATTCTACAGTGACTAGCTCAAAGTAGGTGCCAATAAATGTAATTTTAAATAAGTTAACTCTGAAAGAACTTAGCAACTGTACAAAGTGTGGCTTACCTGCAATGCCTATTTCATAGACCCACATCCACATAAAATCTCTTTGCATTGAACCATGCACTTAGGGCTCTAGAAGGAAGATAGTGGTCCAAAGCTGGGTGAGACTTTAGACCTCTGGAATGTACCAGGACTTATATAAATGGTGAATAATAGTATAATGATAGTAATTATAGCAAGACTAATAATAGTTAACACATTTAAATACTTATATATGCCAGGCATTCTTCTAGGTACTTTATGCACATTAATTTAAAACTCACAGCAATTTATAAAGCACAACTTCTCATTATTCTTGTAATTATTCCAATTTATGGCTAAGGTACCAGAAATAGATAATTTAATTAGCCTGTTTATGGTCATATAGCTAGATTGCAGTGGAGCCAGGATTCAACCCAGGCAGTTTGGATCCTTTGCTACTATGCTATACTCTTAACTACTATGCTATACTAAACTAGGGAAGTCAGGAAGTTATAGACATTTGAGCTGGGAGGGCTATAGAACTCATCATTATAGAGATGGGGGCTCCCATCTATTGCAGTGATTCTTAACTGGGGCTAAATTTGCATCCCAGGGTATATTTGGAAAAATCTTTGGTTGTCACAGATAGGGGCTGGGCACAGAGGCCAGGAATATCATTAAACATCCTACAATGTATAACACAGCCACCCTCACCCCCACCAGCAAACAATTACCTGGTGCAAAATGTCAATAGTGCCAATGTTGAGAAACCCTGCCTTGCTGTAGCAATTTTCATGTGTTCTTACTGGAGAGTCCCTTATATCCCTGGTTTTTCACAATCCCTTCCCATTCACCACATGTGCAGCCAATCCCAACATCTGCAGTTTATGCTCTACTCTTTTATGCCATCATGCTAAAACTAAACTGATCACCCCCTCCCAACCAAGAACATGTTTAGCATGGTTACTTTTTTTTGCTTCACACGAAAGACATGATCCTCTTGGTAGGAGTCTAGGTGCCATGGAAGGCTGACAGGTACTTGTTTATAGAGTGGTCCTGGGAATAGCACTAGGAATATCATGACAAAGGAAAGAGAGAGGAAGTTTAGAAAATGGAAGACAGAAGAAATCCCCACCTCTAGCATATCACATTCATACTGTAGACACACAGGAAGCATTTCCTATGAAAGATTACAGCACAAGGGTATGATTTGGTGTCCTAGAACTAATAACAGTGTGCTTCCTGTCTCTGGTTAAGAAAAAGGAATCAGCTGGATAAATCATGTTTTCGGTCTCCATTAAGCTTAGGGCTCAAAGTTTTATCTTCTGTTTGGTATTTATTGCTCATGAAGCAATATATTGTGCATTGTAGGTGTTATTTTGAATCCTTCTTCATTTTCTTTGAAAAGTAACAATCTATCATGGTTTGTGATCAATGCACTGCAGCTACACTCTTTCTTTGACCACAAACGTCACCAATAGTGATGCCACAACTTGCAACATCTCTATGCAGGGTGAGACAACTGACAGAGGCTTTTGTAAGGCAAGGTTCCCTGGTGACAAGGTTCCCAGGTGGTTTAAGAGAGATGACACTATTAGGCAAGCAAGGGCTTTGTCTCCTTGTGGATGTTACCAAGGAAATATCAAGGAGCCCTCAAGGGGGTCCAGATGTTACAGTGTATTCTTCCTTGGGGAAGGGGAGGGAAAAAGAAAAGGAAGAATAAAAGGGAAGGTTTTTATACAAGCCTATATAGTAGAGAATCATTCTCACATGGACTGTGAGTATGGTGGGGTGCAGCGTGGGAGACAGCATCTTGATCCTCATGGTATGCAAATAAAAACTTCCAAGTAGAGGGTACTTTCACAAACTGGGAAGATTCACTATTCTAGGCTAGGAACATTCCCTATCCTGGCTCCTGGGGCTTTTGAAATCCAGTGTTTCCCAAAGTGTGGTACGCATACCTCCAGGGGTATGGGAAAAGTTTGGTGGGGGTACGCATTGCACCAGAGTTTGGTGGGGATATGCACTGCACCATGCTTAGCTGCGCCTAATTCTATGTTCTCATGAGTATGAGGGGTACTTAGTGTTACGAAAATTATAGAAGGGATATACATATGTCAAAAGTTTGGGAAATAATAAGCTGGGGGATCCTAGAGATAGCCACATCCATATTAGAGCAGTTATAAGGATGTTTAATGCTTTTAACTAGATCTATAAGAAGCTAGGGCACCAAGCCAGTCTTCCAGATGGCAGTTAAGGGGAGTGGGGCTGATCAAGGAAGAAGTCCATAGGTTTTGGCATGTGGCTGGCTCTCTAAGGAACTCACAATATATACTCTACATTTATGAAGGCAACAGGGTATAGTTGACCTTGGGGCCAGACAGATCTAAAATCAAATCTGGGTTCTATTATTTACTGGCTTTGTGACCTAAGTCAAATTATGCAAACTTTTCAGCCTGTTTATTTACCTATAGTTGGAGATAATGCTACTTATCTCTCAGGCACTAAGGTAATGATAATAATGCCGATTTCTAATATTGACTTAAATCCTTATTAAGTGCCAAACATGGTTTTAAGTTTTTATACATTTATATAATATAATCCCCAGAAATCAATGAGAGAGGCAATATTTATCATTAGACCCATTTTATAGATAAGGAAATTGAAACACAAAAAAGTTAGGAAGTTTCCCAAGGTAGAGTTAAAACTGGAATTGAAATTAAAATCAGGCAGTACTGCTCCAGAGCCCACACTTTAGCCACTGAGCTAGATATCATCACTACAGAATAAAGAATTCGGAGCTGGATATCTGACATAGAGCAAATACTCAATCATGATCTTAGTTCCACTTTCTTTATCTTTCCCTTCCTTTTGACCAGTTAGGGAAGAAACCATTCATTTGCCCTATGGGGGTAGCCTTCTCTCTGAACTGAAACCAGGGGTCTCCTTTGTTATTTTGGGATGGGCTGGCACAGGTTGAAGAATCTCAAGGACAGTTCTTGTCACTTCCTAAGGTCATTACTTAAATGTGAGCCAGGTGAATAGATTGAGGATGGATGCAGGCATTCTGGAATGCTGGTAGGCTCACCTATGGGGACTTTGGAAAGCTTCCTCAGTAAGAGTGGTGGCTAACTACACTAGAGAAGTTCTCTGGTCTAAGGTCCAGAATTCCCTACTTCTGGCTCCTTGGGTTTTTGAAATACCAGTGAACTCACATTACCTAGCTCAAGGGTGAATGGTTGACTGTGACTCTCTAATCCTTAAGACTGCATCATCACATCCATCCCATATTTCCTCATTCAATATTTAGATAAAGAACACTGAAATAAAAAATGGATGGCAAAAAATGCTACCTTACCTTAGATTTTTGAACATCTGCATTAATTGCCTAAGTCACATAGTCATTTTCCTGGTTTTGAAACAGAAATATTAATATTACTATTAGGATCCCAAATGTTGTAGCTACTGGTTTTCAATTAAAATTTTTAATATTTATCAAATTAACTAATTACATTTCATATTCTGAGCATGCTCTTTAAGTTAATGGCATGCCTGGTGGTAAAGCAGGGATGGAGAAAGGAGTGATAGAAGAATGAGCTCTGTAAATTCCTAAAGTTCTGTAATCTATGCTTTTCTAAGATAGGTTGACTTAGTAACCCTGCTTCTATGCTATTTGAAATTTGACAAGATGTTTTGGAGGGAAAGAAACTAATAATATTGGGGTGAATCCACAAGCCATTTCCCTTTAGCTCTTATTGCTAATAATCTTTCAAACATGTCTCAGTCCACTACTTAGCTATAGGAGAGAGAGTACAACAAAGAGAAATATATCATGGACTAGATATGGAAGTAGGAGAGCTGAATTTGAACTCTGGCTTGACTATTCACGCAGTCCCAATATGAACATCAGAAACACCTTAATATTATATTAACAAATATAATATAATGTGTTAAATTCATCACTATTGGGTGGTATCAAGGTGAAAAATCCATGTTTTCCTGCCCATTGAGGGGCTCATCGACTAGCAGGAGAGACAGACATGAAAAGAAAAAACTATTATATAGTTTGATAATGACTAAACAGAAAGATATGAAGAAGGGAGAGGTAGTTACTCTGCTAGGAGAAGAGGTGGTAGTGAGGGAGGAAGAACATAGAGGAAGTGATGTGAAGCTGGAGAAGGTGACTTTAAAGTAAGGTTTAAAAAATAAGTCAATTATTATGGTACTCTGGCTATCTTAAAATGTGTAGGAGATAAGGCTGTATTTGTGCTAAGTCTAAAACCTGGAATAGAAATTGTTATTGTTTGGGGGATGGGCATTTGTAGCAAATATTTTTCATATCGTTTACTTATTATTTCTCTCTCTTACAAATAGAATGTTAAAAATCTGGAATCATTTTGTATTTTCCAGCCGGTTGGACTTTGAGAGGATGAGTCTGAAACTATACTGTTAACTGGCTTTTCAAGTCACTAACTACAAGGCCATGGCCTAAGTCATTGGGGTGCAACACTGGCCATGACTGCTATAAATAAGTTAAGTGTTAAATCCTAATGATAAAGGAAACTTTGGCTTGAGAACTAGCTGCCTCAGCAAAGCCATCCTCAAATATTAAGGGCAATGCTATATATACACATACAGACACAGGAGGCAGTGACTAATGGCTCTGCTTTGTCCCAGCAGGCCTGGACCCTTTCTAGCATCTTTGTCTCTATAGGCAGCCTAACTTGAATTTTCAAATTCTACGTCAATTTGACAAATAATCAGGAATTTTTAGTATACAGAACTTCACACTGCTGCCGTCACCCTTTATGTTTTAAAGTTACTTTTTTTCCCCCCTGAAACACACTTCCATCAAATCTATATATCTTTGGCTAGACCAAGCATGATAAACTCTCAAGCCTTAATGCTATGTGACCCTGAAAGAAGCAAAATGTGGTTATAACAATAGTTAAGATCGTGGTCTTTGGATTAGGTGAGTTCTAATCCTGATCTGCCACTTAATAGCTGAATGATACTAGGAATGTGACATAATGTCTCTATTCTTCATTTTCCACATCTGAAAAATTAGGACAATAATAGTACCTATCTCAC